ATTAAACAAATTGAGGAAAATGAAAGTGGACAATAACTATGTCAAGGTCAAGAAAAACCAAACTGTACCGGTTTCTCGAGAAGAAACAGAGAGTGAAAAATCACAAACACAATCAGTGATTAGCAATTTTAAACATGACGTGGCCAACTTGATCAATATTGGAAAACTTGAATCATTAGAAAATGAGGATATTGTTGATCTTGTTCACAAATCTCAATTACTAGATCTCTACAGACACCCTTACTTTATCGATGAAGCAAGAAAGCTTAAAAAGAAGATGAAGAATGCAATGAGAGCAGCTCTTTTCGTTGCCAATTCAAAACAAGATACAAGTACACATAATGATGTAACACTCTCCCTCGTTCCTAATGATCAAAAATAAAAACGTGTTAATAAGTTGTGAAAGTTGTGTGATGACGAAATCTTGATAATCGGAATCTTTCTCAAGATCGGAAATGTATTTTTATTAAACAAAAAAATGACAACAATCAACGTGAAGGTAAAGGCTATGAATGGCCAACAAATTGAATTACAAGTGGATCCGGAAGTAAGTATTTGAAAGTCAAAGGAAGTATTTATTCATTGATTTATTAACAATATAATAGATTGACGTTGAAGAATTTAGAAAATTACTTGCTGAGAAGAGTAACACTGCTCCTCATCTTCAAAGGCTCATCTATCAAGGAAAGGTTTTGAAAAACGGTACAAAACTCTCTGATTACAGTATGTAGGATATTTAAATCATTATTCCGAGAGTCTAACAATTATATTATTGAAAATTAGAAATATCTAATGACCATGTTATTCATCTTGTAAATATGCCACCTCCAGAGGCTCAAGCCAGTAGTGGTTCTTCATCATCATCTTCTGCCACTACAACAAACACCACTGGAGCTACTGGAACAACATCATCAACAAATGCTGGAGCTCATCCACATGCTCAAACCTTCCGTGCTTTGGGTCCTGGAATGGTAATCACTGGTATTGTAGACTCACAATCACCAAATAGCAATAACAATCAAAGAGGTGGTATTGATATTTCTTCAATCTTGAACAGTGTTTTAGGTGGAATTTTACAACCAGGAGCTAATGCCAATAATAATAACAATCATGGACATTCACACCCTCATTCACACTCTCACAATCCACCAACAGCACAAAGACAGCAACAACAACAACAACAACAAGCAAATAATAATACCAACAATAATAATAATCAAACAAGATCTCTCATTAATGGAGCACGTTCAATTATTAACCTTCTCAACAATGAACAACAAAGACAAAATATTGTCAGATCATTGGAGACTGTTGTTAATAGTTTGAGTGAATCTACACCAAATCGTCTTGCTGCTAATCTTGCCAGAAATGAAGTATTGCCAACACTCCAACAATTACACAGAGATTTGGGTGTCATCGTAAATACACGTAATACCACTGCAACATCAAATAGTGGAAATCAAGGTACTACTACTCATTCCGAACCAAGTATTACAGGTGTTAACTTGAATTTGCATGTTAATGCCAATGAATTGGATCAATTACCAAATCAATTGGATAGATTGCACAATATTATTCACAATTCACCATTAGGACCAAGACCTCAAACCATTGAACAACCACAACCTATTCTCATTACAACATCCTCCACCACTGTTAACAGAACAGCACAACAACCATCCCAACAAACACCATCTCAACCTAGTCAAACTAGTTCTGCTACCACTACTCAACAACAAACTTCAACAGCACCAACAACCACTCAACCAAGTGCTCAACAATTTTCATTGAATAGTTTTATGGAGAGAGCAATGACATCTTTGGGAGTTAACTTGACTGAATCAAACGAGTCTGAAAGATCAATTTTTGATAGATTAATTTCTGTTGCTACTGATGGATTGCAAATTACAGATCTTTTAGGAATTATTTCTGGAAATTGGGCTCCTTTGGAATCTACAAAGGGAAGAATGAGAGATTTTGTTATTTCAGAAGTTTTGAAGGGTGATACCTCTTCTGAAAATATTCAAGAAAAGGTTGAAGAAATCATGACCGATTTTGAAACTTACATGGATAAGAATCATGACTTGCAACTCGAAATTGCTTCCAGAGCTGGTGAATCTGATGTTATTGATTTGCTCACTCAACTTGTCAGAAATTATGTTACCTTATTCTTCAAGCTAATCATTGAAGAACCAAGCCAATATCACTCTATCAGTAATGGCACAATTGATGGAACTGTGCCATCTCCATTTGCTTCAGCTCTTAATAGATTCACCACTCTTGCTCTTGGTGAAGTTGTAGAATTATTCGAAACTCATTGTACTAGTGGCTCATCATCTGTATTGTTACCTCTCCTTTTGGATTCCATGTTCAATAGCCTTCCATCCAATGTACAAATGTTCTATAGAACTCAAGGAAGTTCTGTTATTGCTTCTTTTGCTACACAAAGACATCAACAATACAAGACCTTGTATCCTAATAGACCATTAACATTCATGCCAAAGCCTCTTCTCACTAAGAAGGAAGTTAAACCAGAAGCTTCTAAACAACAAGAAACCAAGAAGGAAGAACCAAAGCCTCAAGCTTCATCTGATTCTGATAAGATGTTGGAAGAACTCATGTCTAAGGATAGTATGGATCTGTTGGATTCTGTTTCTTTTGATGATATTGTTGAAAAGCCCAGTTGCTGAATCAAGCAAGCCAACCCCTGTCGTTGAACAACCAAAACCAGAAGTAGAAAAGGCCAAGTCCCCAACCACAACATC